TATTTGATGGCATGAAATTGTGATTTATATTTAAGACACTCGAAGATGCATTTATATTTGTTTACATTTGCTAATTTAATCTTTTCCAGCCACCCATCAATGGTTAGTTGTCCATTTTCTTTACTGATATAATGATGTTGGACTTCTAGATAGGACATTAAAGATTTTTTGAAAATGCGCCTTGAAAATGTTTTTTCCCAAATATAGCATCATGTATATCAGATCTGCTTTGAAATGTGATGCTGCTAAATGCAGCTGTATAAGCTTATGTTTGCACAAAAAGATAGAGGTCATGACCTTATCACAGGAAGGTCAAACACAGCAGCCACTCTCAGCTATATTTGTGTGTTTTGTCTGTGCGTATGTGTGTCCATGCTTGCTATGGGGGATGAAAAGATCAACGGAAGACAAGGAGCTAATACATCTGTATGATTATAATAGTAAGATTATAAAGTCCTTCATGTGTAAATGGTGAATGGACTGTGTTTATGTTCACACACCATTCACACACTGCAAGCACAGAAGTCAGGGGTAATTTGGGGTTCAGTATCTCAGCCAGTGTGCAGACTGGCTGCAGGTCTGTGTGTGATAAATAGAATTAAGCCATGTAGACAAGTGTACATGTGCACTTCTGACTCCTGCCAGACAAGTCTGAATACATGTCTATGTATCCTCTGCACATGAGTGACTTTTAGAAGGCCATTTTTACCTTTGGTTTCCCACTGCAAACAAATGGGTGAAATATACAGTATGTAAATGACAGATAACATAAAGCAGCAGTGCTGCACAAAGCAAGGAAGCTAGCTCGCTAGCAAAATGGTATTGTTCTCAAAGGGTTGTTTTAAACCCTCCATAACGTGTTGGTCCACATCTACTGTACATTGCTATCACCGAGTCCATCCTCACATCATCCATCACTTTCTGGTAAAGTGCAGCAGACAAGTAGGACATTAGAGGCTGCATTACTCGGCCAAGAGAATCTCAGGCTTCAGGCTGCCCCTTTTGATTAGCTGCACTTCACCTGGGTGAAGCAGTGTGCAGAGAAGATCACCTGCAACCCACCCCACCCTGGTCTTTGAAATTCTTTCCTCAACAAATCAGGAAATTGGGGACTCTAAAAATGACCACAAGCTGACATAGGAACAGCTTATTTCCAGAAGCAGGTGTTCAGCAGGTGAGTTGTACAAGCTGAACTATACTGTGTCATCCAACCAGGCATTACAATTAATGCTGAGGAAACCAGATAAAGCAACAATAAAGATACTGAGCTGTTATTGTGGCTGTTTTGGGGTAACATCCAAGCATTTCTCCCTCATATCATTATATTGAGAAACAGCATGGTTATATCTGAACCTTCAATGAAAAAATCATATCCTTGATATTAAAAACCAGGAAACATCATTTCTCTATCACAGAATTAATCTATCAGAATTAAAAGCACCAACTCAGAGAGGCAAGCTTAAATGAGGTAAACCAAAGCTTACTTTTCTCCAAAAAATCTCCTCCAGAAGTCAGCAGCATCAGCCTTGGTGATCCTGAACGTGTCCCCCTGGAACTGTCCTCCAGGGAAGATGGCTTTGATTTCAGCCAGCATGTGACTGAAGATCAGAGACAGCTTGGTCAGGTTCCTCCTGCAGAGAAGAGGTAAGAAACCTGAAATGCTTGACAGACCTACTGGAAAGAGATCACACTGTCCCAACACAATATACAGTTCTTCAAAGTACAGAGATGATTTAATGTGGTGTTAATGGAAGATAATCCAAAAAACAGCATACAATCTACAGAATTATTTTAGCTCTTCATTTCTCAAAGAACTGGAAAAATAATGCAACATTTTTTTTTTTAAATTAAATTTTAGTGTGTCTCTGCTATATGTGAAGCTGCATTTATTAAAGTGATTTAGAGTTAGATACTTCCAAAAATTCGCTCATTATCTACTCACCACCAGTGCATGAACGTGTTCCCATTTTTTGTAAACACTGAGCTGAACGAATCAGTTTACATATGATGAACTTCCTTTATCATCCTCCTGGCTGGAGCTGCATTAATGTTTGTGCACAAACACTGCAGACAAGCTCTCGTCGAAGGGTGCAAGATCTGCACAAGATGATAAGTACTGGTAGCATAGCTAGTTCCAGTAGCATTGTTGCATAGCTGCAGTTACTGCAGCTATTGCGAGTTCTCACTGATGTCGTCACGTGCACCTTAGGTGAGAGCATAGAGCTTGTGCGGAGTGTGCAAGCGAAGATGAATGCGGCTCCGGGCTTAGGATGTCAGTGGACATTCAGCCTAATTTCATTAAGAACATTAAACAGGCAGTGGTGGAGCCTTAATATTTTACTTTATACACAGCTTTGGGAGACAAATCTTTTAAAAGTTATTTTGGATTTTCCATTCCATTCCCAGTCAGTATAAACAATTTAAAAATGTTAATTTGCATTTAAATTGCTGAGCACTGCCACAGAGAGATATAATCAGACTTGAATCCTCAAAATGGTACAGTTAAAGACCTTTCCCACACAAGTCATAATTTGATGTGGTATTAGTGAGAAAGTTGTGAGATTAGTGCTAAAATAAATCAGATGTGGACAGTGAAGTTTAAGTTTACAGCAGTCATATGTAACTTAGCAGTATTCCTAAATCCTGAAGGAGGTAAGGAAGGACATTGGAGGAGGGATTCTTTTGCTTATTCTTTGTGAAGTGCTGGTGATTCTCCTCTCTCTCTCCTCTGGGATGGGGACTTGTCTCCAGCTCCCCAAGAGATTAGAGGTAGGCTTGAAAACATTCCAGGGTAGCACATATTCACAAACACATTAGACGAGGTGACTTTGCCCTAGGTGTGACTGTGAGGGACAAATACAGCACACAGGCTGTGGGGTGCTGATAAGAAGCTTTGAGTGTGTCTGTATCTGTGTGTGCGTGCATGCATACATGTGGGTGTGAGGTGAGTGAGTGAGTGAGAGAAAGAGAGAGAGAGAGTGAGAGAGCGAGCGAGAGAGAGAGAGAGAGAGAGAGAGAGAAGGGCAGCACATCATCCAAACTTTTACTTATTCCTTCAAACCAGCCAGGTTTTGCTTTGTTTTTCACACCTTTTGTGATTCACTTGTCAAGAATGGTTTACTTTTGTTGACAGAAAAAACAGATGATCAACACATTCTGTAGGTTGAATCTAATTACAATATTTTATATACTGTCTATATTCATGTGTGTTTGTGTGCGAAGAGTGAATACATGACAAGTTAAGCTCTTTTCATACCAGCTAATTAAGAAACAGAATAAGGCAGGAGCACCTTTTAAAGTCACTGCCTATATAAAATACTTTTTTGGGGTGGTTAATTCTAGGTAATGCTCAGTATACTGGAGAATATTGTGTTTTAACCGTGTAAACAAAAGCCACAAAGTGGAGTTTATGTTCTAGTCTTTATGGTTAATGATGTAATATTTTTTATATCTAATAAAGATCTAAGCATTGCAAATGACTTGCATGTAAAGGCACATACAGGAAGAGGAAGAGCTACTAAAGCCACTGTGTGAGGGTTTGAGATGCATCCACAAAATGTCTCACTGCATTCTGGCATCATGCAGTACAAAAATGCCTTCAGAGCAACATAAGGGATCAGAATGCATTTATTCTCCAGATCAACCTGTCTTTAGTACACACTGGACTGCTGACTCATGCTGAATGAGCTGTAATGCAGCAAAGTACTCTCTATAGTTTTCTGTTTAATACATCTAGATGGCAGGAATGATTTATTTATCATTTCAATGTGTTCAACCAGCAACCAAGGATCAATCTCAGTTCTGTTTGGGTCTAATTATTTACATTATATCAGCTGTATGCTTTTTGTCCTTGAGCATGCACACACACATCCTAGACTGATCAAGATATTAAATGATCTTGACAGTTTTCTGTGTTCAGCAATCACAAATTAGTGAATGAATTCAATACAAGAGGGGTATAAAAGGTTAAAGTGTAGTAACTGAGGAACAATCTTCTGTGCCTGATAGAATACACAACACTCTGTGTGTTTGTGTGAGAGTGTGTGTGCATATGCACATTTGCACCAACAAAGCCAAACCGTCTCAATAATTGCATGCTCTTCCAGTCACCATTAGGCCTCTAATCAACTATGGACCAGCCAAAAAACTCTCCGTTGGGATGAAGAGGGAAAGGCTGCAGATGCTTAGACAATGGTTCTGACTGGAACTAAATTTCAAACCTCTCTATGGAGGAGGCCTCAGCTCCCAAACACACAAAGAAAAATAACAGTATGCATTCTGAGCTGTATGATGCATTGCAATAATTTTTGATGTACAGCATTTCTACAAGAATGCTGCATCACAAGAATTCACTGCAGCACATGCCTTTTCCATCCTGTTACTGGACACAGAGTGCGGTGAAGATTGTATATTCAAGCCCTTTGCGGTAACATTTCACAAGGTTTGCTTGGTTAGTCTTCTTCAAGTGACCTTGCCATGCCCTTTGCCATTTGACTGGTTGTGTAATCTGGCTCATTTGACAAGCGCCCCAGGAAAGCCAGCACATTCACTAGGGCTAATGTACTCAGATAGTGTGGAACAGGGTGGCCAGAAACTGTTGGCTGACTAACACGTTATTGTTCACGATAATAATCCTTCGATAGCTCTGTTGTGTGCATATATATCCAACCCATCTACAGAATGAAGTCAAAGAGGCTCTCATGCACCACATTTTTCACAAAACAAATCACACTTCCACCTCTTTTGAAATCAAGTAAAATCCAACAGTGAAGCCCTCGAACTTGCTTACACCGGCCTACATGATGCAACACCATTGTTGTGGTGACACCTGCACTTGTTTGCTTGCACCTGAACGATGTCACAGACTGTTGAGGAGAGTATTTAGTGATACTTTAATCATAACAGTATGTATGGGTAGAAGGGTGGATATAGATCATGCTGTATGGGATTGGAGACAACCCATGAAAATGAGGCCTTGAGGTTAAAGTTCAAAGCTGGAAGAGCTACAGCAAGTGTAGGGGGTAAAGGGGTGCTTAATACAAGGTTTAGACCTGATTACAAGTTACATGCCATAATCCAAACGGAGTCCGTTTTTCCTACACGAGTGTGTCTGGGTTTGGCTGTGCTTGTGCAGCAGAGATACAGTGAGAGTAGAGTGGCCACGAGGGACTCTATTGGCTTCATAAATTAATCATTAGACAGATGAGATGACTATCAGATTATCTCCAATTGGCTGCTGCTGATACCACACTGAATATGACAAAAGCTGGTAAAGAGGTAGTGGGGGACAAATAACTGCGATGAAGGTGAGAAGAAGAGGTTTTGGAAATAGGTTGGGAAAGACAAACCCCCCAATGTGGGTCAAAGCAGAGATAAAATAGAAATTGGAAGGGACAGACACTAAGTCAGCAGTCACTGATTTAATTGTTTCTAAGGATTGTTATTAGCATCAATTATTTAGGCAAATCATTCTCCTGTGAAAAAGAGCCACAAAACACTGTCCATTAAGACAGAGGATGAGCTCTTAACTGCATATAATTCGACACAAAGAGAAAAACAGCATCAATCAAAAGGTACTAAAAACCCGCAAAGTCAAGGAATGAGAGAAAATAATAAACCAGAAGAGTTTTTGTGCATTACCCTTTGGAGCCCAACTATGGTGACTCTGAATCTCAGATTTTGTAATACATAGATAAGGAGGAGGAAATCATAAGCCTTTTTTTCCAGACATGACCAGCAGGTAAAATCAAGAGAATTAGCTACGGAATTTACCCGTGGCTCTAATCACAACAAACTCTCTTGACATCTTTGTTGGTTTCTTCTACTTGTATTAACATTTTTTCACAGGGAGATATATGTTTTCTTTTTTTTTTCATTTTTGAATCTGTCAGGCATTAGAAGCATCTTTAACCCATGCTCACTCACAGTGAATAAAGCAGGGTAACCCCTGCTGTGTTCACACATTGGATTATCCTGGATTTCAACGGACATTAGGAGGCCAGGCGAAGACAATAAGGAGGAGGTGCGGAGTTCAGTGTATGTTTGAAAGCAGCTATACTTTCGGTTCCGGTTCACAATGGGATGGCAGCGTTAGGAGAACTCTCTCGAAAAAAGAGGATAAAATGCCCCATTGATGGCTGTATAGATGTAGCCGTAATATAAGACATAATATTAGTTCTGAATTACGTTTGTTGCATTAGGAAAGGGGTGGATTGACGTCTAAGCAAGAGTAAGAGGCCGGCCCAGAATATGGCTAAGAACAATGAGGAGCAGCACTATGAGGATGCTAGTCCCCCCATGGTGAGCTACGCCAGCAACAGTATGGATGGCAAGGATGAACTTAACTCTGATCATCAGAGAGATACATGATTTCAGACAAGAAAACAAAAAACTGTTTGAGGACATAAAAGGAGAAATCGCAAAAACAAACTCGAGGTTGGACAAAGTTGAAGCGAGGATCAGAGGCAATGAGGAGAGGCTGCAAAATGCAGAGGAGGTATGAGCGGAAATGCTACAATTTCAGCAGCAGCTCCAGTCGAAGTCACCAGGTCAAGAGAGCCGCTCAAGGAGGGAAAATGTGAGCATATACGGCATACCCGAATCTGGATAAAACTTAAATGAAGGATCTACA